CCCCTGGCTGAAGCCAAGCCCACCACTGGCCCCGAGTGAAGGTCCTGGCAACGCATCCGTGAGAACCTGGACGCTTCCTGGAGGGGCAGTTCGGGAGCCCCCTTCCCACGCCCCACCGCAGCCAGGGCGGATGTCTAGTGCCCACAGCCAAGCTGAAGGCCGAAGGGCCTGGCTCCCCTGACCAGAGCCCAGGGCACCAGAGGGCCATGAAGGATTCCAACCGTCACCGGCTGACTCACCCCTGCTGGCAGCCAGGGTCAGAAGCCCCAGCAGGTACCTCAGGGTGAGCTCATGTAGGCCCCACCCGCCTCCCCACACACACACAGCATTCCCGGGGCTCCACATCACAGGCCGGCAGGCTGGCAGGCACCTACCGGCTGCTGGGGGGAGGAGGAGGCCACTCACAGATGGACGGACCTGCCCCTTACCAGCCCCATGGCCTCAGGGAAGCCCCTCAGGTGTCTGTTAAAAGCCAGGCCTGCCTGCCTCCCCACCAGGGTGAGAACAGGCGGTTCTGGGCATGCGGAGCCCGCAGAAACCCATCCCCCAGACCTGGGGGTACTTCCTCTGCTGGTCCTCTCTGCTGGGAAGGGGGCGGTCCCGCCAGCCCCAGCAAGATGTGAAGCTACAGGAGCTCCCAAGTGGCACCCCAGGGACCCCTTCCCTGCTCTCCTGTGGGGTGTCCGCACTGGGGTGGGGGGAGAGGGCCCTGGGGCACAGATGGCAGCTGAGTGCCCCAGGCTACGTTTCCAGACTACACAGCACCACTCAGAGCCGAACTTTCACCTGCCCCACCCCGTGCTCACCTGGTTGGCTAGTGAGGACGGATCCTCTCTGAGACAGGTGGACGGAAGTTCCCTAGGAGGCTCCACTGGGAGGGCAGGGACAGGTCACCGGTCTGGCCCACGCTGGATCAGCAAGGGCCTGTCACCCGTCCTTGCAGCCGCCCCTGGCTGGCAGTGGCTCTGACCAGCTGGGTTTCCAGAGCAGGCAAGGAGGGGAGAGGCCAGGCCCGGTATTTTGGTCTGTGCTTGGGCGGGGCAGGGCGGAAAACATTTCTGCATAGTGTGATCCGGGGAGGGACCACCCGCCTTCTCCAAGCACCCCGCCCCGGGGCCTTCCTGCCAGACCCGCCACCGTCCCTTAGCCCACCAAGCAGCGGTCCCTTCGGCCTCGGAAGGGAAAAACAAAACCAGACGCAGACCCCTTGGTTGGAGCTGGGCTTACGGGAGCCTCACGTGCCCGCAGGCTGCCCCTGGGCCCGTGGTGAGGTCCCAGCCTTCTGAGGAGGCTGATTCTCCCGACAAAGGTCCGGGCCCCACGCGCGGGCGGCGGGCGGAGGAGGGGCCCCTCTTTCCGGGAGTGCCTGGCGGATGTGAGCCCCCTGGGAAGGCGCCGGCCAGAAATAGTTCCCGCGGCCCGGGACCGAGCCGCCCCGCCCTGGCCCCTGCAACTCAGCCGGGCCCGCCGCGGCCCGCGGCCCACGCCCCAAGCAGGGCAGCCCCGCACTCGGCGCCAGCCAGGCCCGAGGAGGAGTCCCCGCCCGGGAGAGCCCGCG